TACACAGAAAATAGAAATACATACACCTGTTTTTTTTTTTTTTCTTTCTTGAGACAGGGTCTTGCTCTATTGCCCAGGCTGGAGTGCAGTGGTGTGATCCCGGCTTACTGCAACCTCTGCCTCCTGGGTTCAAGTGATTCTCCTGCCTCAGCCCCCTTAGTAGCAGGGACTACAGGTGTATGCCATATCACCTGGCTAATTTTTGCACTTTTGGCAGAGATAGGGTTTTGTCATCTTGGCCAGGCTGGTATCAAACTCCTGACTTCAAGTGATCTGCCCGCCTCGGCCTCCCAAAGTGCTGAGATTATAGGCACTTAGCCTGGTCCTGCTATTGAGTCTTAAGTGGTTGTACACTCCCAGGCTTGTCAGCTCCACTGAAATCAAATAAAAATAAGCATGGCAATATACAGAGAAATATGAACTCATCAGCACACCCTTCCCCCTGCAACTTTAACTCAGGACAGAAACTTGAAAAGATCAGACTCAATTTTAGCCAGGCCGTGTTCACCCAGCCCCGCTGACTGCATCCTGGGGGAAATGTGATGCCTAGGCCTCCTGGTGGCTGTCCCTCGGTGCTATGGTCTTGTGAGCTCTTCATTCTCCTGTTCCAGAAGCTCTCAGCTTCCCCAGTACATGCTTTATTATTCTTTGTATTCTGATTCGACTTCCATAGTCCCGTGCTCTTTGGATAAAGCATTTTTTACTTTTTAGTTTAAATTACTCCCTAAGGTGTTGGAAAGAGCCTGCCCCTTCTCAATCCCTACCCTCTAGGTGCTAAATAAAAAATAAAAACGACTTGCATTTTGAGTACAGAGAAGACATCTTTTTTTTTTTTTTGAAATGGAGTCTCACTCTTGTTGCCCAGGTTAGAGTTCAGTACACAGTCTTGGCTCACTGCAACCTCTGCCTCTTGCTTGCAAACAGTTCTCGTGCCTCAGTCTCCGGAGTAGCTGAGATACAGGTGTGCACCACCGTGCCGGCTAATTTTTATTTCTTTTTTAGTTTTAATTTTTATATTTTTAGTAGATGGGGTTTCACTATGTTGGCCAGGCTGGTCTCCAACTCCTGACCTCAAGGGATCTGCCTCCCTTGGCCTCCCAAAGTGCTGGGATTACAGGCGTGAGCCATCGTGCCCAGCCAAGAAACCCCTTTTCATAGTTGTAGTGAGAACACATCTTCTTGGACACCGAGTTATTGTTTCACTGTAAACTCAAATGTCCTGACCTCCCTCTCTTGCTGGCTGGCCATTTGTAGAAAACCCCTAGGGGAAAGAGGAAGCTTTGCATCTCCCAATCAGCCTAATTGGTTAGTCCCCTTGGAATTCCCAGGGGCTCAGGACACAGTTGTCGCTGCAGTTGTCCTTGTTTCCAGGGTTAACTATCAAAGCAGGAGGAGAAGCAGTTTAAAGTGACCTGGATATTCAATTTTGTGTTCCTGCTATTTCTGTGACCAATTTTCTACCTGGAGTTTGTTCAGAAGAGTGAAAAATATTTCAGGTGCTCTCCCTTCTAAACCGTGGCAAACCACACTCCAGTAAGACAGCACAGAAGACTGAGGAAGAAAAACGTTTATGAAGCATTTTGCGCGGGTCTACCTCCTGATACGTAATTGTACAGGTTGTTCTTTTTCCACTGAATTGACTAGTCCCTGGTGAGCCACACTGGCTTTCGCTTTTATCTCCTCTCTTCTCCTTTTTCAGGACTCTGGCCATTGTCCAGAGAGAATTACACTTTCTCTGCTAGAAACTCCCATCTTTCTTCTCTTGGGCCAGTTCCACGTGGGCCTCTTCCACGCTGCCTTCCTGAGGTCGGGCACTTGCTCGGCGCTCTGTTTCCTCTTCTCCTTCCTAGAGTTGTAATCCAGCTTTCCCCCATCTTTCTATTGTTTCCACTTCACTAGTGATTTCCTCCTTGTTGTCCAGAAGTAGGTCAGGATAAGAAATTCTCCTTTTTTACTTCTTCAGGCTGCTTGTTAACAAAGCAAAACAAGCTTAAACACCTTGTTCAATGATCAGCCTTTTTTTTTTTTTTTTTGGAGTCTGGGCCTTGCTCTGTTTCCCAGGCTGGAGTGGCACCAGTAAGTGAGTCCCCTACCTTGACCTCCGAGTAGCTGGGACCGCAGGTGTGAGCCATCACACCCAGCTAATTAAAAAAAAAAATCTGTAGAGACAAGGTCTTGTCAGGTTGCCCAGGCTGAATCTGAACTTCTGGGCTCAAGTAATCCACCCTCCTTGGCCTCTCAGAGTGCTGAGATTACAGATGTCAGCCCTCACACCCCCTCAAAGCTCAACTTTTAACTGCTTGAAACTTTTGATAGGTCAGAGAGACGAATTCTGTCATTCACTATACACAGAATTACCTTGGCTTAGGAGTTCAGGGCATGGAACATTGGTGTCACACAAATGTGGGCTCAAAAGCTGTAATTATGTGGTGGTGTTTTGTGGATTTTTTTTTAGAGATGGGATCTCACTAGGTTGCCCAGGCTGGTCTCAAACTCCTGGCCTCAAGCGATCCATCTGCCTCAGCCTCCCGAAGTGTTGGGATTACAGGCACGTTTTGAGTCTTGGGGATCAGCTGGGATTCTCTTCTCTCCTTTATCTTCTGTATCCAATCCAGCTCCTGCCATTTCTTTTTTTCTGGTGCCTCTTGGGTTTGCTCTCTTCTCTCCTTGCCTCTCTGACTCCTCTTGTCACACTCCGAAACCTCAAATCTGAACTTTTACTTCTCCTATCACAGAAACTTCCCACACTCTAACTGCTTATTGCCCCTCTACCTTCACCACCAAACTGCAAATTCTGTGAGAACAGAAACCCAATTTTTTGTTTTTGCTGTTTTGTCCTCAATTTCCATCACAGTCAGGTTCTAACATTGACAGTTGAATGAAAGAATTAGTTATTGGGTTGCTACAGCTGCCTTTAAACTTTCAGTAAACTTTTGCTGCCATCAGCAGGTGAATGTAAAGCACTGTTCCAGGCCAAGGCACCGTGACTCATGCCTGTTATCCCAGCACTTTGGGAGGCCGAGGTGGGAGGATGGCTTGAGGCCAGGAATTTGAGACCAGCTTGGGCAACATAATGAGACCCCATCTCTACAGAAAAATTACGTAGAATAAAATGAAAGTAAGGCTGGTGCAGTGGCTCATGCTGTAATCCTAGCACTTTGGGAGGCCAAGGCGAGAGGATCACATGAGGTCAGGAGTTCAAGACAAGCCTGGCCAACATGGCAAAACCCTGTCTCTACAAAAAATACAAACATTAGCCGAACGTGGTGGCATGCACCTGTAATCCCAGCCACTTGGGAGGCTGAGGAAGGGGAGTTGCTTGAACCCAGGAGGCGGAGGTTGTAGTGAGCCAAGATTGAGCCACTGCACTCCAGCCTGGGCAACTGAGTGAGACCTCGTATCGATCAATCAATCAATTAATAAAATAAAATAAAATACTGTTCATGATATTCTGCTCCTGGGAGAGGCTTGCCGTCCTCCCCGCTGCAGCCCTGTGACTTCCCATCTGGTGCCTTCAGTCGCTGCTTTGTCTCCTTCTTGGATGCCTTTTCTTTTGCCCTCTCATGAAAACCAACTCATTTGTGAGGATCCAGCTTGAGCTCTGCCTCCTCTCTGAAGCCCCTGAACCTCTCCCACCGACACAGACCTCTGCCTTCTTAGATCATCTGCTAGCCTTCAGTTTAATGTTTTAACTATTCCACTTGCATGGGTCCTGCCCACTCACCCGCTTTACGGTATCTCTGAGGACAGGAGCTGTACTCCTTAGGTCTTCTGCATCCTCCACGCTCCTCGTCTAAAGCTGCATCTGCTCTGGCTCGCCTTCCTAACCTGCCAGGAGTGGTCTTCCTGTTTTTAAACTTTAAGTAGGCTATGTGGAGGTCAAATTAGATACCTTCTGACAAGCCTTAGATTTCTTTTTCTGTTTTAAGGGACATTTTTTCTTTTTCTCCAATTTCGTTGGGAGTGCATGAAAGCACATTCAACAGCTCCTTGCTCCCCTGCCTCTCCTGCACCACCCAACATCTCACTGCAGTATTCAGCAACTCGCAGGCCTGCTGGTTGTGGTGGACAGTCCCCAAGATGAGGTTATCTGTGTCAAAATATTGAGTGGTTGATGAATGCTCCAGGTAGGCACTAGAGCCTGCTGAGAGCACTCAGGTTACTGCACAAGCACAGTCAATTTGAGCCCTCATCACGGTTCATTGCCATTTAAGTTAAGGATTGGTGACAGGTCCTGCCTTGGACCACCATTTCAGGAAACAGGACAGCTACAGCAGCAGTCCCCAATGTTTTTGACACCAGGGATTGATTTCGTGGAAGACAATTTTTCCATAGATTGGTTGGAGGGGGATGGTTTCGGAATGAAACTGTTTCACCTCAGATCATCATTCATTAGATTCTCATAAGGAACACATGACCTAGATCCCTGGCATGTGCAATTTACAGTAGAGTTTGCACTCCTGTGAGCATCTAATGCCTCTGCTGATCTGACAGGAGGCGGTAAAGCTCACTTGCCTGCTGCTCACTTCCTGCTGTGTAGCGCCATTCCTAACAGACCATGGACAGGTACCAGCCTGTGGCCCGGGGGTTGGGGACCTCTGAACTACAGGCTCCTTCACCTGCACAAGTTTTGAGAAGTCAGTCTATCCAGAACAAGAAGGGCAGGAACTTTCTTGTCTCGCTGAGGATCTTCCACCAATCCCAACTCTCAGTGTGCGTATGACTCGTATGGCGATCATCTTAAAAATTACAGATTCTGAGTCAGTGATCTGAAATCTTGTATTTGTAACAAGCTCCCAGATGATACCAATGGTGATGCTGATGCTGCCTGTCTGTGGACAACAATTTGAGTAGACAGGTCTAGAATATGGACATCTTCCTTTCCAGTGAACTTTAGCAAGTGGGGAGCATGTCAAGAAAGCCTCCTCCCATGCACACTGTTATTGCAGCATTTCTTGTAGCAATCGGGCTAAATCTGTCTTTAATTCTTTTCCAAACAGCATATCCAAGTTTTGCAACCATAAGCACCAGCCAGGAGAATATATATTCCATGCAGAAAATGATGATGCCCAATTTACCAAAATGTTTACGCTGAATGTAAGAAGTAAGTTAAATGGTCAAGAATTTAATTTTTATCTTTTAATTCCTTAACTCTGTGTTAGTCTTAACTAGGAGGAGCTAAGTAATGGCTTAGAAGGGATAGTACAAAACTGTTTTTGTGTAAGGTGCAGTGGCTCATGCCTGTAATCTCAGCACTTTGGGAGGCCAAGGCAGGCGGATCACCTGGGGTCAGGAGTTCAAGACCAGCCTGGCCAACATGGTGAAACCCCTTCTTTAAAAAACAAAACAAAACAAAACAAAACAAAACAAAACAAAACTGTTTTTATATGCTGAAGTGTTTTCAAATTTTACTCTCAGATCTACTGGCATTGGTCATATATCTCTTTATTTTTTATTATATTTGTTTTGTTTCTTTTTCTTTTCTTTCTTTTTTTTTTTTTTTAAAGACAGGGTGTCACCATGTTGGCCAGGCTGGTCTTGAACTCCTGACCTCAGGTGATCCACCTGCCTTGACCTCCCAAAGTGCTGAGATTACCGGTGTGAGCCACCACGCCCTGCCTTTGTTTCATTTTTTTAAGACTGAGTCTGTATCACACAGTCTGGGGTGCCATGGCATGGTCGTGGATCCCTGTAGCTTCAAACTCCTGGGCCCAAGTGATCCTCCCACATAAGCCTCCTGAGTAGCTGGGACTATAGGCACATGCCACCATGCTCAGCTAATTTTAAGAACATTTTCATAGAGAGGGGGCCCCCGTTTGTTGCCCTGGTTGGTCTCAAACTCCTGGCCTCAAGGAATCCTCACACCTTAGCCTCCCAAAGTGCTAGGATTACAGGTGACAGCCACCGCATCTGGCCATTTGTCTCTTTCTATGTTTATCCTCAGAAGCTGAAAGCCTTATTTCACATTGTCTCTGAATATGAATTAGTGTGGTGACTTTATTGATTTTAGTATTTTAAAAGTCATGTTCAGGAAAGGCTGAAAGTCATTTTACCTCTCATTTATTTGTTTTTAATAATTTTCATTCCTTTGGCTTATAAAACAATGAGATGTCCAACTTCTCCTGAAGCTAAGAATCGTTTTATGGTGTGCAAGCAGGTGGAGGTCAGTACCTGGACTCTCTCCGGGGGAGGCTGGCAGTGGAAAAATGTGTGTAGCAGAGAGGCGTTGAGGCTGCCCAACCAGAAGGTTTCATGGCAAGGAGGAAAGAAGAAATAACCAGAGGTCTGGAGGCATTCTGAACCAGACATCCTCCCAGAAGCGCAAAATGCCCTGGAGTAAATGGGTAGCCTGCACTCTAGGCAACTTTGAAACTATTTCCAGAAAGTACCATACTCTATGGCCTTATTTTATTTTATTGTTTTCAGAGTCAGGGTCTTGCTGTGTTGCCCAGGCTGGTCTTGAATGTTGCCTGGGCACATGCGATCCTCACACCTTGGCTTCAAAAAGTGTTAGTACTATAGGAGTGAACCACTATGTCTGGCCAGTGAGCTTATTTCATACATTCTTTTCTGTAGGAAAACCTCAAGTGCTCGCGGAAGCGTCAGAAAGTCAGGCGTCCTGTTCCTCGGATGGATACCCATTACCATCTTGGACCTGGAAGAAATGTTCAGACAAGTCTCCCAAGTAATAAGGACATTGATGTCTTATTATGGAAGAACATAAAACTCTCTGACATACTGTTTCATGAATACAGTTTAAGAAGAAATGATGAGACTTATAATGCTCGCCTTCTGAATCGACCATAATTCTCAATGTCGTAGATTGTTTCTGTTAACTTATACTGGATGAATCTCTCTTTTTTTTTTTTTTTTTTGAGACAGAGTCTTGCTCTGTCGCCAGGCGTCAGGCTGGAGTGCAGTGGCGTGATCTCGGCTCACTGCAACCTTCCCCTCCCGGGTTCAAGCAATTCTTCTGCCTCAGCCTCCCTAGTAGCTGGGACTACAGGCGCGCGACACCATGCCCAGCTAATTTTTGTGTTTTTAGTAGAGACAGGGTTTTGCCATGTTGGCCAAGATGGTCTCGATCCCTTGAGCTTGTGATCCGCCCGCCTCTGCCTCCCGAAGTGCTGGGATTACAGGCGTGAGCCACCGCGCCCGGCATGAATCTCTTTTAGAACTCTCTGCCGAAACCCTAACTTCCAGTCTGATGACAGCTCACCTGCCTAACTTCTCTGCCATTTTTTTTTTTTTTCCAGCTGCACAGAAGAGATCACAGAAGGAGTATGGAATAGAAGGGCTAACAGGAAAGTGTTTGGACAGTGGGTGTCAAGCAGTACTCTCAACGTGAGTGAAGCCCTAAGAGGGTTCCTGGTCAAGTGCTGTGCATACAATTCCCTTGGCACGTCTTGTGAGACGATCCTTTTAAACTCCCCAGGTACAACAGTTGCTATCGTAATACTTCACCATCAGGAATTCCCCACTAGAAGTTCGTCCCCATCGCTCACTTTTACTTGGGGAATTTTACAGGACCCTGTAGGGCCAGTGCGTGGGAAAGGTTTCTTGAGTCAGGCGAGAATCCCCAGACAGACTGTTTTGCAGGTTGGGGTGGAGTCCTGATTGTGCCCTTGTGACTCACAGTGACCGGGAGAAGCAGAAACTCCCGGTGTGGTGAATCTCCATGGAAGGATCTCATGCTAGAGAAGCAGATTTCATCACTTGGAGTCTCTGTCATTTTCCTTTGTTTATTTTTTTTATTTTTTTATTTTTGAAGGCAGGGTTTCACCCTGTTGGTCAGGCTGGTCTTGAACTCCCAACCTCAGGTGATCCTCCTGCCTTGGCCTCCAAAGGGTTTGGATTACAGGCGTGAGCCACCACGCCCGGCCCATTTTCCTTTTGGTTAGCCTCCTTATTTGACCTTAGCATGCTATTTTATAATTTTTGGTTTGCTTTTTAGAGCCCTTCTAAGTTAAACAATTCTGAAACCTGGCTGCTCACCCTGATAATTAGGAGCACCAACCTCACAAAATTGACTTCTTCGCTTTCATGTGAGACCTTCATAAAAGGGATATGAGCTTCTTTTTTTCTCTGACTTGTATATCCTGTGGATTTAAAGGTCTAAATCCATGTAATTTTTTTGTTTTCATTTGAGTTGGAGTATTGCTCTGTCACCCAGGCTGGAGTGCAGTGGTGATCTTGGCTCACTGTAAGCTCTGCCTCCAGGGTTCAGGCGATTCTCCTGCCTCAGCCTCCCCAGCATCAGGGCTTACAGGTGTCTGCCACCATGCCCAGCTAATTTTTGTATTTTTAGTATTTTTAGTAGAGATGAGGTTTTGCCAGGTTGCCCAGGCTGGTCTCTTGGACTCAAATCATCCTCCCATCTCAGCTTCCCAAAGTGCTGGGACTTTAGACATGAGCCATCGTGCCTGGCCCAGTTGTAATTCTCATAATCCTAGTAAATGGTTTCAAAGAATGGATTCAGAATAATTTGCAATTTTCTAGGAAGGAAGCATATCCTTTACAGGGACATTGCCTGATCGTCTGTGGGAAGTAGAGTATACGTAGAGTGCTCGTGAGAACTGAAAATGATTATTACCGAAATAGGATGTGAGAGATTATAATGAGCTGTCTACTATTCACACTGTCACACGGGAATTCTATTTCATCTCTGAGTGACACTCTTTTGTTGCAGGCCCCTTCCCTTTCATCCAAGACAACATCTCATTCTACGCAACAATTGGGTTTTGTCTCCTCTTCATTGTCGTTTTAACCATGCTAATTTGTCACAAGTACAAAAAGGTAAAAGCAAAGGTAAAAATTCATTATTGTTTCCTCTATCTGCAGAGCTGCCTATTCCTAACTGACTCATTATTTCATCTCTGAAGCAATTTAGGTATGAAAGCCAGATGCAGATGGTACAGGTGACCGGCTCCTCAGATAATGAATACTGCTATGTTGATTTCAGAGAATATGAATATGATCTCAAATGGGAGTTTCCAAGAGAAAATTTAGAGTTTGGTAAGAATGGAATGTGCAAAAAAAAAAAAAAGAATGAATTGTGCCAAATGTTTCTGCAGCATTTCTTTTCCACTGGAAAATCTTTAAAATGCACCCATTTATCTTGCAGGGCAGGTACTAGGATCAGGTGCTTTTGGAAAGGTGATGAACGCAACAGCTTATGGAATTAGCAAAACAGGAGTCTCGATCCAGGTTGCCGTCAAAATGCTAAAAGGTACGGTATAGTGGAACGGCAGCAGCAAAGATGCACAAATGTGGGAGGCACAGTTTCCCACCCATGCCTTCTTCTCTTTTCCATCTTTGTAATGGTCATTATTTGCCATGTTTCAAGGCTAAAAATGGAGTAGATTGGGGTGAGTGTCAACTCAGTCATGAAACAAAATTCAAGTCATAAATACAAAAGTCCACCTCTTCTTCCACTTCTTTCTTTGTTTATTTTTATTTTATTTTTGAGATAGGGTCTCGCTCTGTCACCTAGGCTGGAGTATAGTGCCGCGATCATGGCTCACTGCAGCCTCCACCCCTTGGGCTCAGGTGATCCTCTCCTCAGCCTCCTGAGCGGCTGGGGCTATGGGTGTGCACTACCATGCTCAGCTAATTTTTGTATTTTTGGTAGAGATGGGGTTTCACCATGTTGCCAGGGTGATCTGGCACTCCTCAGCTCAAGCTATCTGCCCGCCTCGGCCTCCCAAAGTGCTGGGATTACAGGCGTGAGCCACTGTGCTGGGCCTATTTATTTATTATAGGCTTTGATATTTGGAGGTACAGTTGCCACAGGTGGAAGTTCTTTCTTACGTTTGTGTTGTTGTTTTGTTTTATTTTTAAAGACAGGATCTTGCTCTGTTGCCAAGGCTAGAGTGCCAAGATCATAGCTCACTGCAGCCTTGACCTCCTTGACTAAAGCAATCCTCTCACCTCAGCCTCACAGGAGTGTGGCAAGATGATCGGCTAATTTTGTTTTTATTTTTTTTAGAAATAGTGTCTCACCATATTGCCCAGGCTGGTTGCAAACTCCTGGCTCAAGTGAGGGTGCCTTGGCCTCTTAAAGTGCTGGGATTACAGGTGTGGGCTGAAAAAGACACTAGGTAGGAGAATAAATTGGGGCCCTTTGTATCCTTACTTCATTACTCCATCCATTCCGATCTGGCATCCAGCCCCGATGCCGGCCTTACCATTACCACCACTGATCCTACAAAAGTACCTCCAGCTGGCTGTCTCACTAAGGTCAGCAGTGACCTGAAACCAAGCCCAATGGGTGTTTTTCAGTCCTCACATGACTTGGTTGTTCAGCACGAGTTGATGCTGCTGACTCTCCTTTCCATCTAGAAATGCTTTCTTTCTTTGGGCTCTGTGTTGCCATATTCTGGTTTTCCTCCCACCTCTCTGCCTGCTTCTCAGTCCTGTGCAGGCCCATCTTCTTCCATCCAGCTTTTGTTGTTATGGCTGTTTTTGGAACAGAGTCTTGCTCTGTCTCCCTGGCTGGAGTGCAGTGGTGTGATCTCAGCTCACTGCAACCTCCACTTTCCAGGCTCAAGCCATCCTCCCACTTCAGCCTCCCAAGTAGGAGGGACTACAGCCATGCTCCACCACGCCTGGCTAATTTTGTATTTTTGGTAGAGATGGGACTTCACCAAGTTGCCCAGGCTCCATGCAGCTTTTTATGGGGCATCCCTGCAGGCTTGCTCCTGGACCGCCTTGTGTTTTCGCTCCGCAAACTCAGCACAGGCCATCCCCACTATGCCCGTGACAACCTCCCATACACCAATGGCCCCCATGCTTGCATCTCCTTTCGGAGCTTCAGGTTCGTATGTTAAGTGTTTGGATGTCTCCAAGTTCCTTTTAACGCAGTGTACCCAAGGTGAATCCCCCTTGGGGATCACCCATCTCTACTAAAAAGACAAAAATTAGCCGGGCATGGGGGCAGGCGCCTGTAACCCCAGATACTCAGGAGGCTGAGGCAGGAGCATTGCTTGAACCCTGGAGGCAGAGGTTACAGTGAGCCAAGATCGCCACTGCACTCCAGCCTGGGTGACAGAGCGAGACTCCATCTCAAATGCTGGCCCTGCACCAGCAGTCCTCTCTGTGACTGGTAATGAGTGCCAGTGAATAACCACATTCCATATAGTTGGGCACACTAGAAGCCCGTGACTTTTCTTTGACACCATCCTCTTTCTAACACCCTGCGAGCTAAGTTTATCAGGTCATCCTCATCCCTCCATCTCTATTACCACCACCCTAGTTCAAGGCTCTCTCCTGGACTAAAGCTTCCAAAGCAGGTTCTCTGTATCAACTCTTGCCTCTCATTGGCTACTTCATGCTGAGGTTCGAGTGACAGTGACTAAAGGCTAAGCAGATCAGATGGCTTTCCTACTTCGTATTTCCTCCACCACCCTCATGACTGGGCTGCTGCCGCCTCCCCACCTCTTGCTCTCGGCTCCCCAGAGTGCTGGCCTTCTTTCAGTTCCCCCAGCACCATCCTCCCACCTATTGTGGGACTTTTGCACAGGTGGATCTTCCTGCTTCCCCTTCCCCTTTCACGCAGGTATCTCCTGGGGCTCCCTCAGATCTCAGCTTAAACACCACTTCCTCTGGGAAGCCTTGTCTCACACCGCAGACAAGATTGAGGCCCTTGCAATGTGCACCATTAGCTCCCTGCAGGCTTTTCCCATCATTGTCATGACATATTTGTTTAATATACAATTGCTACCCTATTTGTCCAGTAGCTGCTGTGCCTCATGAGGGCAGGGTCTGTGTCTGCGGCGCTGTGCTCTCTCCTTTTTTGACCTTTGCCCACTCTTTTACAACTGTCGGCACGGTTCTCCTCCCCCTCCACCACGAATCACTTGGCCAGCTCCCATTTCTCTTCAAGACTCAGTTTAGACATTGAATGCTCCTTTCCCTACTCCTCCAAGGCTAAGGTAGCTGTCCCTTTTGACCCTATAGTCCCCCTGCATGCTTTTGTCACCTTGCATTTTTTCTTTTTCTTTTTGAGATACGGTCTCACTCTGTCACCCAGGCTGGAGTGCAGTGGAGTGATCATAGCTCACTGCAAGCTTGAAGTCCTGGGTTGAAGTGATAAACTGTCCTCAGCCTTTCCAGTAGGTGGAACTACATGCATGCACCATCAGGTGCAGCTAATTTTTATTTTATTTTATTTTATTTTTTGAGATGGAGTTTCGCTCTTGCTGCTCAAGCTGGAGTGCAATAGTGCCATCTCAGCTCACTGTAACCTCCACCTCCTGGGTTCAAGCGATTCTCCTGTCTCTGCCTCCTGGGTAGCTGGGATTATAAGGATGCGCTTCCATGCCCACCTCGGCCTCCCAAAGTGCTGGGATTACAGGCATAAGCCACTATGCTCAACCTATTTTATTTTTAAGTAGAGATGAGGTCTTGCTATTTTACCCAGGCTGGTCCTGAAGTCTTGGGCTCCAGCAATTGTTCTGCCTGCCTCGGCCTCCCAAGCTATTGGGAGTACAGGAGTGAGGACCTGCATGCTTGCCTGCCGCATTGCATTTACCGCATTGTATTGTAATGGCTTAGTTACTTCCCTCCCTTTTCCAGGAGACTCCAAACTCCAGGAAGACAAGGGTTGTGTCTTCTTTATCTTTCATTCCCCAATGTCTAGGACATTGCCTCATACACAGTACGAACTCAATAAATACTTGTTGAATGATTGAATGAAAGAGATAATGGTATATGAAAGTGCTTAGAAGCAGCAAAGCATGGCAAAAAGGGTAAGAAACCATTTTAGCCACGAGGAATAGGACACAAACAAGCGAAAGCCCTGAATTCCTGTCCAGCATGAAGCTGTAGACAGGATATATTGGGGGTCCCAGTGCCTACAGGAAATCCCACCCCCAAGCCAAAATCTTGGAAGCAAGGATACCCCCTAGAGCTTGCCCAAGATGAAATAGAGGATGTTCACACAGAAGAAGCCACTATAAAGGTTAGAATGTCTTCCTGGACAAAATAATGGAACCTGGAAATTGAATCAAATCTTCACTGAATGTAAAGAAAAGTTACTATGTCTGGAAGGAGAGATCTGTTCACAGAGGGGTGATTCCTGGAGTCTGGAGAGGGAAGGAAGTCCAGAGACCTTGCCCTTGCCCCTGCGGCTGCCCGGGCTGCCCTGACCAGCTGCACATCAGCAGCAATGACAGGAGCCCTGGGATTCCACAGTGACCTTCCTTACACTGTGCTCCTAAGCCAGGTTATGAGTACAGTTTGCTGAGCTTTCTAGAATTTTCCCTAGAGAGAGAATGTATTGGCCAACCAATATGTTTTAGCCTGCTTGGCAGTTATATGACTCAATGTCAATTGATGGGTCTGCTGAGCACTTGGCAGTGGGAATTAGTCCTCTTTGACTGCCTCCCATTGGACTCGCTGGCAAATCTAATGTTCTAGACCTGAGGGCTGTGGGCTAGAGTCAACCACTCTCATTGACACCGCTATCTTATCTCTGACTACAACAGATCTAAGACTTCAAACAACAAAAAAAGTATGCTTCTCCCTTCTGTTAACTTGTACTGTGGAGGAAAAGCATGTGTTATTATTTTGTTTGTTTCTTTTGAGGCCAACTGTAAGGATTTTTATTATGGTAGGCAGACGAAAGCCCCGTGGAAAGGCGCATTACTACATTCAACATTTATGCTATAGTCTTTGGTTTGGTTTTGTTTTTTTGAGACAGCGTCTCACTCTGTCACCCAGGCTGGAGTGGTGCAGGGACTCGATCTTGGCTTACTGCAACCTTTGCCTCCCGGGTTTGAGCAATTCTCCTGCCTTAGCTTCTTGAGTAGCTGGAATTACAGGCATGTGACGGCACACCCATCTAATTTTTTGTATTTTTAGTAGAGATGGGGTTTCACCATGTTGGTCAGGTTGGTCTTGATCTCCTGACCTCAAGTAATCCACCCACACTGGATTACTCATCAGAAAGACTGTAGCCTGATGACAGAGGATGTTTGTTCTCTCTCTCTCTGTCTCTGTCTTTTAAATTATTTGTCTTTTCTCAGTCACATTTGGCCTCTGAAAGTGTTGGTATTACAGGCATGAGCCACCATGCCCAACCCTGTACTACAGTATGAATTCTGCCTTAGGCTGTGCACTCTGGCTCATACCTGTATTCCTGGCACTTTGGGAGGTGGAGGTGGGTGGATTGCTTGAGCCCAAGAGTTTGAGACCAGCCTGGGGAACATGGTGAGATCCCCCATCTCTACAAGAACAGAAATTAACCAGGCGTGGTGCCCTGAGCTTGTAGTCCCAGTTACTTGGAGGGCTGGGGTAGGAGGATCACTTGAGCCCAGGAGGCAGAGTCTGCAATAAGCCAAGTCATGCCACTGCACTCCAGCCTGGGTGACAGAGTGAGAACTTGGGTCAAAAAAAAAAAAGAAAGAAAGAAAGAAAAGAAAAAGAAGAGAAATTCTGTCTTAAAACAGAGGATATTGTTTATTTATTTATTTATTTAGAGATAGAATTTCGCTCTTGTCGCCCAGGCTGGAGTGCAATGGTGTGATCTTGGCTCACTGCAACCTCTGCCTCCTGGGTTCAAGTGATTGTCCTGCCTCAGCCTCCCAAGTAGCTGGGATTACAGGCACCTGTCTCCATGCCCGATTAATTTTTGTATTTTTAGTAGCAACAAGCTTTTACCATGTTGATCAGGCTGGTCTTAAACTCCTGACCTCAGGTGATCCACCCACCTCAGCCTCCCAAAGTCCTGGGATTACAGGCATGAACCACCCCACCTGGCCTCTCTCATAATTTTGAATTTAAATAAATAATGCAGATTGACTCCGAGCTGAGAAAATTTTTGATTTATTTAATGACATAAAATTCCTATTTTACTTGAGTTTTATGTTTGTTTGTTATTTCTCTTTTTTTTAAGATGGGGGTTTCACCATGATGGCCAGGCTGGTCTTGAACTCCTGACCTCAGGTGATCCACCCACCTTGGCCTCCCAAAGTGCTAGGATTACAGGCGTGAGCCACTACGCCTGGCTGAGTTTTATGTTTTTAATGCTCCTTTCTTTGACAGAAAAAGCAGACAGCTCTGAAAGAGAGGCACTCATGTCAGAACTCAAGATGATGACCCAGCTGGGAAGCCACGAGAATATTGTGAATCTGCTGGGAGCATGCACGCTGTCAGGTAACCCACTTCCACGAAAATCTCATCAAAAAGACTGTAGCCTGATGACAGAGGATGTTTGTTCTCTCTCTCTCTTTTTAAATTTTTTGTCTTCTTAGTCACAGTGTGAGCTCTCAAACCCAAGTGGAAATAGACATTGGGCACTCTATAAATCAGAGGGGTCAAAATAAAGAATGCCTCATTCACCTGCGTTATCGGAATATGACACATAATTCTCACCTGCTTAAAAACAAGAACAACAGCGTTGCAGGTAGATTTAGTGGTGTCTGTGCTTCTCCCCCAGCTCGGAAGCTGGCGCACAGGCGTGGTGAGAATGGTTACAGAGCCTGGCTGCTGCTCTAGTTGGGCTGCCGTCAAATAAGGCACAGCTAGGATACCAGACCTTACTTTCCCAGAATTCTCTGGGCCATGCCCTCGAATCCTCTCTCTTCTGCCTAGAAATACCCAAATGATGTGCCCAAGGTTCATTCTTTCTGCAGTGGCAGGCCTGGGGCTGGGACTAAAAGAAGGGAAAAAGAGGAAAGTGAATCTGAGAAAGGACTGAGAATATATTTCTCCCTCCTCAAGCAAACGGCAAATCAGCATATAGTTACCAACTGTTTGCCTATAATACAGCAAACACATTACTTCCAGTTGTAAACTGGAGAATCCAGGAGGCCAGTGGTATTGGTGAGGCCCCATGTATAGACAAAAGCACAGAGAAAGTCAAGAAGATGCTGCTTTCCAAAGGAATCTGAGCAAAAGCTGAAACTGCATTTAAAGTGTAAGAAGAGGCTAGGTGTGGTGGCTCACACCTATAATGCCAGCACTTTGGGAGGCTGAGGCAGGCAGGTGGATCATGAGGTCAGGAGATTGAGACCATCCTGGTCAACATGGTGAAACCCCGTCTCCACTGAAGATATAAAAAATTAGCCAGGCGTGGTGGCCTGTGCCTGTCGTCCCAGCTACTTAGGAGGCTGAGGCAGGAGAATCGCTTGAATCCAGGAGGCGGAGGTTGCAGTGAGCCAAGATTGCGCCATTGCACTCCAGCCCGGGTGACAGAGCAAGACTCCATTTCAAAATTTAATTTAATTTTAAAAATAAAGTATAAGAAGAAATAGGCTCAGAAAAAGTTGTACTGTCCCCAAGTCCGTAGAGACCTGAGCCCTCGTAAGAGTATGTTGTCTGCTACATAGATGTCTGAAATAACAGTGTGCTGTTTGATGCCTATAATTGAAACTGTAACTATTTCAGGACCAATTTACTTGATTTTTGAATATTGTTGCTATGGTGATCTTCTCAACTATCTAAGAAGTAAAAGAGAAAAATTTCACAGGACTTGGACAGAGATTTTCAAGGAACACAATTTCAGTTTTTACCCTTCTTTCCAATCACATCCAAATTCCAGGTAAGAGGCTGGGTCAGGGTTTCCTAATTACACATCATACAATGTAGACAAAGTGTGCTGTTCAAATACACTTCGTTGACCAGTTTCTAAAGACATCATGTGGTCTGTGGGTCCTGCAACCTAGAGATTTCCTACATCTTTGCTATAGCTTCCCTGTTGACATGGAACAATGAGCCCCGTCCCTTTCCTTCAGTACAGGTACTATGGCTAAGCTAGCCTCTCTCCACCCATGCCTGCATTGCACCCTACATGCCTATTTGGTTTGGGGAAAGGTGCATTACTCAGTCTTTCAGGATACCTGGCTGCCACACAAGTATTGGTAGAAAGAATGAAGACTTTTTTCCAAAGGACTACTGCAAAAAAGAACACTGAACTCAAGTTGGATTCTAAAATATTAGGATGAATTGATTGACACAGTAAAGTAGCGGTAACTCTGTCTCTGTGCTCTGCGTTTATCCTCTACATCTGTGGGGACCCTGAGAGACGCTTGGTCCTGCAGGGATTTATTGCTTTAGCGTGCATAAATGAGGGCTATGGGAGTTTGCTGGGCTCTCCTCCTCATCCCTGAACTTTCTTGCTAATTACTTGGATGTGATGGCTTTTTTTGCTTTTGTTTTTTTTTTTGAGTAGCTGGGATTACAAGCATGTGTCACCAAGCCTGGTTAAATTTTGTATTTTTAGTAGAGACAGGGTTTCACTACGTTGGCCAGGCTGGTCTCGAACTCCCAATCTCAGGTGATCCGCCTGCCTTGGCCTCCCAAAGTGCTGAGATTACAGGCGTGAGCCACCACACCCTACCTGAGCATGATGGCTTTGTAGCGCCTTTCTCTGAATTGATTCACAGACATTCTGATGGAAGCATTCCTCGAGCTTTGGAGCATTCTTTCTTTTTGAGACAGAGTTTTGCTCTGTTGCCCAGGCTGGAGTCCAATGGCACAATCTTGGCTCACTGCAACCTCTGCCTCCTGGGTTCAATGATTCTTCTGCCTCAGCCTCCTGAGTAGCTGAGATTACAGGCATATGCCACCATGCCCAGCTACGTTTTGTATTTTTGGTAGAGATGGGGTTTCACCATGTTGGTCAGGCTGTTGGTGAACTCCTCACCTCAGGTGATCCAACTGCCTCGGCCTCCCAAAGTTCTTGGATTACAGGTGTGAGCCACTGCACCTGGCCAAGCCTTGGTGCATTCTTATTTCCCTGCTTATGTGGAAGCTTTCCCTTATTCTGAAGGTGTATTTGTTTGTTGGAGACTTTTTTCTTTACCAGGGCTTTTTAGGGATGCATTTGAGAGTCCCAGCTTTGTTTCCTTAGAATGTAAGTTTTAGTGTAGACCTCTGGGCTTCAAGGTCTGAGACAGAGACCCAATGTCTTAAAGCCACCAGGCCCCCCGGAGATCCCCATGCACGTCTATGTGCAGTTGCCCTTTACCCGTGTGTGCCCGTCACACCAGTCCTCCCCTTTGCACTCATTTCTCAGATCATCGTTTAGAAATGAGAACTCTACAAAACCACCCACATTCTGGAACAGAGGGGCTATCCTACTGAGTCAGATGTGTGTGACCAGCACCCACTGGTCAGTACTCAGCCCCTTTGATTCATTCTGTTCGCTGGAATATTAAATATATCAAAATTATTCCTTTTGGAATATCTGTGGTCTGAAAGCATGAAGCCATTTCCTAAAGATACCTAAATTGTAAATTGGGTTAAATGCATATATTGGAATAAATTGAATCATGATCTATTTATAATACATACAGAACTCCTCAGGGAAGAATTTTTATATACCTTAAGAGAGATTTGTATTATTGCTATTTATTAATTTCACAGTTAAAGGAAATGAGCTTTACAAAGGCAAAATAAAAAAAAGAAGGGTGGCGAAACGCTCACAGGACTCTCAGAAGATCTGTATTATGTGAGGGAAAGTGGGCTGAGTTCACCCAAGAATGAGATCGATGTGAGTCCTGGTTCCACTCAAATCATATTTACCTCACTGTGCCTAATTTCTCTTTTATAAAATGTGACTTTAACATAAATGTGACCATCTAGTAGGTTGTGGCAAGGATTGAATGAGGTCATTTTTGAACTGTAAGATTCTATAAAGAAAACAAGGTTTACTTTTATCTTAAACTGGCAAGCCCAATTATACAGGTGTTTTTAATATACACGACAAATGGACAAATGGATGGCGTGCTTTTAATTTAAAAGTCAATTTATAACCGGAATCCATGTATTTGATGAATTGTATTTTTAAAATAAAATGTCTGCTGAGAAGAAGAATGTAAATAATGAAAAAACAATTTTTTTTTTTTTTTTAACAGTATGCCTGGTTCAAGAGAAGTTCAGATACACCAGGACTCGGATCCGATCTCAGGGCTTCATGGGAATTCATTGCACTCTGAAGGTAATATTTTATTCTAAGTAGTAGCACTTTAGAATGGAAATGAATGCCAAAGTTTTATGTTAGCTATTTTTTTAAAGTGTGTAACACAAAAGCATTTTAAAATTTGTTCATGTCAGATGATAGCTAACAGCCACAGTTTGTATATTGCAGATTTTAAGTCAATGTTGAACTAATGAACACTGAGGACTATTTTATTTGGTCTGATTATTCATTTAAAGTCATATATTAATTAGAGCCTTCTTACCTGATAAATGGAAGAGATAACGAGTTCGGCGTTTTATAGAATTTGGATTAACTAGGTCGGGCAAGGTGTTTCACGCCTGTAATCCCAGCACTTTGGGAGGCTGAGGCGGGCGGATCACCTGAGGTTGGGAGTTTGAGACCAGCCTGAACAACATGGAGAAACCCTGTCTCTACTAAAAATACAAAATTAGCCAGGCGTAGTGGTGCATGCCTATAATCCCAGCTACTTGGGAGGCTCAGGCAGGAGAATCGCTTGAACCTGGGAGGCGGTGAGCCGACATTGCACCATTGCACTCCAGCTGGGCAACAAGAGAGAAAGTCTGTCTCAAAAAAAAAAGCAGAATTTGGATTAACTTCTGCTTACTTCGCTTTCTGACTGGATGACTTTAGACAAGTTATGTGACCACCAGAATCACAATTTTTTTATTTATAAAATAGGCCTAACACTACCTTCCTGACAGGACTGTTAGAAGGAGTAAATGAGGGGCTGGGTGCAGTGGCTCATGCCTATAATCCTAGCACTTTGGGAGGCCAAGGCAGGCAGATCACCTGAGGTTAGAAGTTCAGGACTAGCCTGGCCAACATGATGAAACCCTGTCTCTGCTAAAAATGGAAAAATTAGCTGGGCTTGGTGGCACCTGTCTGTAATCCCAGCTACTCAGGAGGCTGAGGCAGGAGGATCGCTTGAACCCAGGGGATGGAGGTTGCAGGGAGCTGAGATTGCACCACTGCATTCCAGTCTGGGTGACACAGTGAGACTTCAACTCAAAAAAAAAAAAGGGAGTAAATGGAAGAATATGAAATGCGCAATACAGTTTATAAAATGGGATAGACACTCAATTAATATTAATTCTTTTTCCAGTGTGACAGTCCTACCTAGTGCAAAAGAGAGGTATCTAAAACTCCTGACTAATTGATCAGGAGCTCATCAGCCATCAAAGCAGTTCCAAAGTTTATCTTTAACCAAAACAAGCTTCCAGTGACCCTTTGTAGGCAGCATAAACAGGTCAGCTGCTGGAAAGATAATGCGATAGCTTCATGTGTACATCTCAGCACCATCCCTAACTGTGGCTTGAATAACCTCCCCAGAGAGAATCAATAAGGCAACTTCTTAGAGTTTTGGCAAAAGTGAAGACTGGCTCTGTTTTACAGATGAAATTGAATATGAAAACCAAAAACGGCTGGAAGAAGAGGAGGATTTGAATGTGCTCACATTTGAAGATCTTCTTTGCTTTGCATATCAAGTTGCCAAAGGAATGGAATTTCTGGAATTTAAGTCGGTAAGCTCCTTTTAAAGGAAAAAAAAAAAAAGATTTTGAATAGATATGCTTATATATTTTTTTCTTGTTTATTTTAACTTGTATCCCTTAAAGTCTGTCTTTTCTCCCCTCTTTGCTGTTGGAGTCACCTAAAATGTTACCTTGGCTTTTGGCTAATTGTAGCATAAAGGCTTGGGATCCCTTGCGCGGTCCGGTCACAGCCAGCACAGGTCTCCCAGGATACTTACTCAGAGTCCCCTGACACTTGCAGCGCTGAAGGTCGAGATAGGAAGTCCTCAGAAATCCTTCCTCAAAACAAAGCATAGCATTGTCAGTCCCTTTCAGAACCGCGGTTCAGGTTGTGCCCTACATGTGGGCATTCACCCAGGGGAGGAGTGGAGGCTGAAACCTGCCAGCCAGCCACCCTGAGTGTCTTTGTCTAATCTGCACCCTATGTGCTGTGGGCTGGCGGCGGCCTGCAGGCTCACTGCCTCCTCTGTTGCTAACCCCAGATCCATCCGGGCAGTGTTGATAAGGCCCTGGAGCCCGCCTTGAACCATGGTCTCTACCCCAGTTTTGTGTTCTTGCTGAACTACCTTTCTGCTCGCTGTTCTCTGTGATTTCAAACGTCTGCCGCCTATAAGCAGATCACAGCCCGCCGTCTGGCTACCTTCCTTCCTCGTTTGCTTGCCTCTCATTCCTTCTCTTTATTTTCCAAAATTCTTCCCTCTCATTTTTCTTATAGTCTTCTAATCTCCTTCTCCTCCTCTCCTCCACTTCCTTCCCTTTGCCTCTTGTCTCCTCTTTACTCTCTGAATTTGGAAAGACTACTTTCAATTGTATTTTGTTTTTTCTTTTCTTTTTTTTTTTGGAGACAGAGTCTTGCTCTGTCATCCAAGCTGGAGTGCAGTGGTGCGATCTCTGCTCACTACAATCTCTGCCTCCTGGGTTCAAGCAGTTCTCATGCCTCAGCCTCCTGAGTAGCTGGGACTACAGGTATGCAGCACCATGCCTGGCTAATTTTTTGTATTTTAGTAGAGATGGGGTTTCACCATGTTGTTCAGGCAGGTCTTGAACTCCTAGCTCACACAATTTGCCCACCTCGGCCTCTGAAAGTGCTGGGATTACAGGTGTAAGCCATTGCATCTGGCCTGTATTTTATTTTTTCTTTAAAAAATTACTGTCTCAACCAGACATTCATGGTGTCTGTAGTTCCACTTACTTGGGAAGCCAAGGTGGGAGGATTGCTTGAGCCCAGGAATTGGAAGCTGCAGTGAGCTAGGATTGCACCACTGCACTCCATCTGGGTGACAGAGCAAGACCCTTTCTATCTTCTTTTTTTTTTTTTTGAGATGGAGTTTCTCTGTTGTTACCCAGACTGGAGTGCAATGGCACGATCTCGGCTCACCGCAACCTCTGCCTTCTGGGTTCAAGCAATTCTGCCTCAGCCTCCCGAGTAGCTGGGACTACAGGCACGCACCACCATGCCCAGCTAATTTTTTTGTATTTTTAGTAGAGACGGGGTTTCACCTTGTTGATCAGGATGGTCTCGATCTCTTGACCTCGTGATCCACCCGCCTTGGCCTCCCAAAGTGCTGGGATTATAGGCCTGAGCCACCTCGCCCGGCCAAGACCCTTTCTTTAAAAAATAAAAAATACGCTGGGCACAGTGGTGCACATTTGTAAGCCCAGTGCTTTTGGAGGGAAGCCCAGGAGTTCCAGGCTGCAGTGAGCTATGACTATATCACTGCACTCTAGCCTGTCTCTTTAAAATAGTAATGAAATCACCTTAAAAGTGATAATAATACAAGTTTTAAAAAATATTGTCACGATAATATTTCCTCACCTCTCAACTGAGAGGCACATTCTTCTCTTCATCTCCCCCACCTGCTGTTTGGATTCTTCTTTCTCATGCATCTTGCCCGCCTGAGTCTTTATCTCTATTTCACTTACACATCTACATCTGCAATCCTGCTTTCACAAGCATCTTTTTTTTTTTTTTTTTTTTTTGAGATGATGTCTTGTTCTGTTGCCCAGGCTGGAGTGCAATGGCATGATCTCAGCTCACTGCAACCTCTGCCTCCCAGGTTCAAGCCATCCTCCTGCCTTAGCTTCCCATGTAGCTGGGATTACAGGTGTGCACTGCTACACCTGCCTAATTTTTTTGTATTTTTGTAGGGACAAGGTTTCACTATGTTGGCCAGACTGATCTCGAAATCCTGACCTCAAGTGATTTGCCACCTCAGCCCCCAAACTGCTGGGATTACAGGCGTGAGCCACCACGCCTGGCCCACAAACAACTTTATAGATGTGGGAGAGCACCTACTTAGATTGTGTGGCCTGGTTTGCTGCCCGTAGTTAAGTAAATACTCAAAGTACTCCCAACTGGCAGCCAAGAGGCACTGCTTCCCTTCAACCTCAGGCTTGTAATAATATGAATTTTTGAAAAACATCCAGTATCTTTTTTTTTTTGACTCAGTTGCCCTCTTGTCCGCCATGGCGTGATCATGCCTCACTGTAACCTCTGCCTCCTGGGTTCAAGCAATTTTCCTGCCTCAGCCTCCCCAGTAGCTGGGATTACAGGCACCTGGCACCACGCCCAGCTCATCTTTGTATTTTTAGTAGAGACGGGGTTTCACCATGTTGGCCAGGCTGGTCTTGAACTTCTGACCTCAAGTGATCCGCCTGCCTCGGCCTTCCAAAGTGCTGGGATTACAGGTGTGAGCCACCGTATCCAGCCAGAACATCCAGTTTCTTAGGCTCTCTACCCTTTTATCTTCACATTAGGCCTCCCCTTTGAATCATGTGTGTCACTGTCCCCTGCTTGTCTCTCAACCCCCCCGATACTCCTCTGGGTACCCCTCAATTTCCTCTGTAGCCCTTGACTTTACCAGACATTTGTTGAGCCCCAACCATGTGCCAAGCACTGAACTAGATGTTGGAGATACAGAATCAGTTTTGATGTGACTCCTGGGCTCCAAGATCTTATGAGCGATAGAGGAGACAGAGCCAAGCAGACATGCAGGTCAAAGATGACACTGTGGCCAGGCCCAGGACTCACGCCTGGAATCCCAGCACTTTGGGAGGTAGAGAGGTGGCTTGCTTGAGGCCAACTGTTCAAGACCAGCCTGGCCACCATGGCGAAACCCCATCTCTACTGAGAATACAAAAAATAGCTAGGCACGGTAGTGCATGCCTATAATCCCAACTTCTTAGCAGACTGAGGCCTGAGAATCACTTGAACTGGGAAGCAGAGGTTGCAGTGAGCTGAGATTGCACCACTGCACTCCAGCCTGGGTGACAGAGTGAGTCTGTCTCAAAAAATAAAACAAATTAAAAAAAAAAGACGAAGTGCTGTGATTGAAGTAAGTTCTAGGAACCCCGGGGAGGGACCTATTATACAGCAGACCTGGCTGGGGGAGGGGGAGATGGAGTGGAAGAGGCTTTCTGAAGGAGCACATGCTTCATGCTCAGACTGATGGAGATTTTTGAAGGAAAAGGAAAACCAGCAGGGAATGTGAGATAGGATAGGGAGCATGGAATCAGGAGTTCTTTTTGGATAAAGGTAATGAGTTGGACATACTGAATGTGAAGGTGCCTGGGGCAACCACGTAGGGCTTGGTCTAGCAGACACTTGGACACTCCTGTCTGAAGCTCAGGAGAAATGTTTGGGTTGGAAATAGGGATGTGGGTGATGGTAGTTTCATCCCTAGGTTTGGATGAAATAGCTTGAGTGAGCGTGTGGGATGCAAGGATGCAGCCCTCAGCCGTGAGAACAGGCTCATGCACAAAGCCCCTGAGGCAGACGGGAACAGGGAGAGCAGTGGGAAGGAAGCAGGAGTGAGCCATGTGCAGCGTGCCCAGAAGGAAGGAGCAGAAGCAGAAGGGGCTGGCCAACAGCACCAGACACCACAGAGAGGTCCCATCAGATCCAGACTGGGTGCTATGCCAGTCAGTCGGGCCTTGGCCAGAGCAGCTTGGGCACACAGGCAGGAGGAGGAGGCGGGTTGCAGAGCTGGGGGTCAAGTGGGCAAAGTGCAAGTAGATGGCACTGAAAAATTGATAGAGGGGCTGTGGCACTGGGCTGTTCGTGTTTCATTTATTTATTTATTATTTTTATTTATTTTTCCTTTTATTTTTTAAAGATGAAAGAGTGTTCATTGAACCTTTGCTACTAATGCCCTGCTCCCCTTCCGATTTTTCTTTGTAAAATTCGTTTTCTTGCCAGATCACTTGGATTAACGTCCTGACATTTCTCAGCTCAGGGACTCCTTCTAATTCCACTTTAATAAACCTCTCCAAACTCATTTTTAGCTTTTTGTGGTTCTATTTCCTTCGATATTACTCTATTTTTATTCCTAAAGTGCTTTTCCAGTCAGAAGAGAGTTGCTATTTCTCACACCCACAATAAGAGTGCTGGAGGACAGCCTCTGAGATTCCCTCTGGAGGCTCGGGTGTGGGGGGTGAGCCCTGCTGGGGAGCCTCTTATGCCCAGGATCTGCAAAAGATCCACTCCTCTTTGGCCTTTGGGGATGCTTCAGAAGGAGCACAAATAACTACAGCCCCCGAAGGTGCAGAATTGGGTCACCTGTGTTCCCTTCATTTGCTACACATCATCATGACCACCCACGGCCCATTAAAGATGAGAGACCTTCCATCTTATTGAACTTGAGCCTAGAAGAAAGATTGCACTCCAGGATAATATACATCACAGTAAATAACACTCTGGTGTCATTCTTGACAGTGTATTCACAGAGACCTGGCCGCCAGGAACGTGCTTGTCACCCACGGGAAAGTGGTGAAGATATGTGACTTTGGATTGGCTCGAGACATCATGAATGATTCCAACTATGTTGTCAGGGGCAATGTGAGGCTGCCATTTCCTACTTATTTTTATGCTGCTATTTTGTGTTTTGTCTTTATCATGGTAAACATCTGCACTCGCTGTGGTGCATTTTTGATTTATGGTAACATCAAAAAACCCTCACAGTAGTCTGCTTACTTATGCTTAAAAGCTTTTTCTGCAGCTTCAGTGAATCTTCCATCTATAATAGAAGCTGAGCAAAATAGCATCACATCTGTCCTTGGGCTAGCTAGTCAGAGTAGATTGGTTAGGGGCCTTTGAGTGCAATCTTCACTTTTAAAAGCCCAGAATCTCAATACTTGCACATAGTTCAGTTACTTAGATATAAAGTGATTACTGAGTTATGTTTTCAATTATGTGAAAAGTTAATGTCACAATAAAGCATTTTTAAAAAATATACAACATATAAATACATATAAAATGTTAAAGCTAAATACTTAAATATGAATTAATGAATATTTGTCATCCTTCTACTGTTAACACAGGAAGACCTAAAACATGAGTGAATTGGCTAGGCATGGTGGCTCACACCTGTAATCCCAGCTCTTTGGGAGGCCAAGGTGGGCGGATCATGAGGTCAGGAGTTCAAGACCAGCCTGACCAACATAGTGAAACCCCATCTAAAAATACAAAAATTAAGGCGTGGTGGTGCTTGCCTGTAATCCCAGCTACTCAGGAGGCTGAGGCAGGAGAATCGCTTGAACCTGGGAGGGGGAGATTGCAATGAGCCGAGATCACGCCATTGCACTACAGCCTGGGCAACAGAGCGAGACTCTGTCTCAAAACAAACAAACAGCGAGTAAATTGACTTGTTAATTAAAAACTAAGGACAGAGGTGTTTACAAAATAACTATTAGAAGCAATAGATGACAAAATTGTGTAGTTGAAAAAGTGTGTTTTTAAAGAATTACTAACACCTGTCTGGGTGCTGGTGGCTCACGCCTTTAATCCCAGGCACTTTGAGAGGCCAAAGTGGGAGGAACGCTTGAGCCCAGGAGTTCTAGACCCAGCCTGTGCAATATGGTGAGACGTTCACTGTCTCTATAAAAAATAAAAAACTAGCTGGGTGTGGTGGCACCTGCCTGGGCTCAAGTGATCCTCCCACTCAGCTACTTGGGAAGCTGAAGTGGAAGGATCACTTGAGCCCAGGAGGTCGAGGCTGCAGTCAGCTGTGATTATGCCATTGCACTCCAGCCTGGGCAACAGAATGAGATTCTGTCCCAAAAAAGAATTCCCTAGTTGTGAAATAATAATAATAATATTAAATGCTGATATAGTGCTTACTATGTGTTAAGCATCTAAGTGCTTTATGCACATTAATTCATTTATTCCTCAGAGTATCCCCTTGGAAACTGAGGCACCGAAAAGTAACTTGCTCATGGTTACACAGCATGTGGACTTGAACATGAATAGTCTGAGCCCTGAGTCTGTGCTAACCACCATGTTATAGTGTTTCCCGTGAGGGTTATGCACTTACCTCATAGTGTTGATGTGGGAAAAAAACCAATAAAACCAACATGAAAGCACCTTGTCCAGGGTAAACATCCAGTATATGTGAAAAGTCCAATTAAACTCTATTCCCACTCGAATCAAATAATCATCTTAGTCATCATAGACTGCACATAGGTGGTCATTCAGGTTCTACCCTACCAGGTGGTTGTCTCTTATGTGGGAAAGTGAATTCCATTTGGAACCACAATTAATTTCTTTAATTAATCAAATTAACCAGACTGGCCTGCTTCAATCACCAGCTCATCAGTTTGCATAGGATTTAAAAGAGGGTTTACTTGTCAGATTAAGCACGTGCTGATTAAACGTGCTGTGAAGGGCTTCCCAACTCATGAAAAAGAAAATCACTGTGAAGCTCTGCCCCGGTCACCTACCCATCTTGTGTCTTGATTCTAATCTGAGATTATACTAAGTCAAAATCCCCTTTCATGCTAGTGGAAATTGTTAAAGCCACAGAAGCCAGACTGGTACCATTTCTGCAAGTGATGACGTGGGCTCCCCTCCCGACATTCCTGTGGATGCCGTTTCCACTAAAAGTCTTCCAAGAAATGCTTTTTTTTTTTAAATTAAAACACTTGTTGCTGACTTCCTGAGAACCAAAGGTACCAAATTGTCTTTCTCATTGTGGTTTTTCTTGGTTGTCTTTTCAAAGTTGTATGGGGTAAGACTTTATTTATTTATTTAGACAGGGTCTCACTCTGTGGCCCAGGCTAGAGTGTGTGTTGTGATCATGGCTCACTGCAGCCACAACCTCCCAAGCTCAAGCGGGAGTACAGTGGCACAATATCGGCTCACTGCAATCTCCGCCTCCTGGGTTCAAGCAATTTTCCTGCCTCAGCCTCCCTAGTAGCCGGGACTATAGGTGTGCGCCACGACGCCCAGCTAATTTTTGTATTTTTTAGTAGAGACGGGGTTTCACCATATTGGCCAGGATGGTCTCAATCTCTTAACCTCGTGATCTGCCCGCCTTGGCCTCCCAAAGTGCTTGGATTACAGGTGTGAGCCACTGCACCTGGCCCCAAGAAAGGCTTTAACAGAAGATCTTGTTAATTCACTAGTACCCACTTGCCTCTAGGCAACTGACTGGTGTTCCTTAATGGAAAGTACATCTTTCCATTGGACAGATGGAAAGTTAAACTTACCCATTCCAAGCACAAGCCTTTGTTCAAGAGGAGTTGTAAAGAAATATGCCTTGTGTTTTCAGCTACTGTTACTAGAATGTTAATTTGAAAGTGAAAATTTTCCACTTGAGGAATGTGATTTTCTCAGTAAGGCATTAAGTGTGGCCTTAGGAAGATGATGCATTTCATTTTTTTTTTTTTTTTTGAGACGGAGTTTCGCTCTTGTTACCCAGGCTGGAGTGCAATGGCGCGATCTCGGCTCACCGCAACCTCCGCCTCCTGGGTTCAAGCAATTCTCCTGCCTCAGCCTCCTGAGTAGCTGGGACTACAGGTTTGTGCCACCATGCCCAGCTAATTTTTGTATTTTTAGTAGAGCCGGGGTTTCACCGTGTTGACCAGGATGGTCTCGATCTCTTGACCTCGTGATCCACCTGCCTCAGTCTCCCAAAGTGCTGAGATTATAGGCGTGAGCCACCGCGCCTGGCCTGCATTTCATCTTAATACAAGATAAAAGAAGCCATGTCTGTATGTTGAAAATTCACCATCTTATCTCCTCTGGGTTTTCCACAGGCCCGTCTGCCTGTAAAATGGATGGCCCCTGAAAGCCTATTTGAAGGGATCTATACCATTAAGAGTGATGTCTGGTCATATGGAATATTACTCTGGGAAATCTTCTCACTTGGTATGTTGGGGCACTGCCGGCCTCCCTTGGCTCTGGGCTTTGCATGCTCTGCTCTCTTGGTGACCCCCTTCCTCCCCGCCGCTGCCCCATCCAACACTGGTGGGTCTTACTGGTTTTGCAGCCTGTGACTTTATGTTTATTTCCTGGTGTCCTTTGGCCTGTGTTCCTCACTGGTTTATAACCCGCTTGAGAGCGTGAGCTGTGACTTTTTCCCAGCTGTAGCCCATGTGACTGCAACAGAGTCTGGCACATGGCAGCTCTCGATATATGTTTGTTAATTGAATGAATCAATAAACAAATGAAGAAACGGATGAATGGCTACACTTGGCTAATGTTTTCCTCAGGTGTGAATCCTTACCCTGGCATTCCGGTTGATGCTAACTTCTACAGACTGATTCGAAATGGATTTAAGATGGATCAGCCATTTTATGCTACGGAGGAAATGTAAGTTCAAATTCAGACTGTAATTTGGTTGAAATCAGAAATTTAGTCTGTCTACTTCCAAACACAGGACCAAAAATAGTCAAAATTCCTAATGCAAAGTTTACATGACTCCTTTTTCTAAAATAGAGGTGGGGTCTTGCTGTGTTGGCCAGGTTGGTCTCAAACTCCTGGCTTCAGGCAATCCTCCTGCCGCAGCCTCCTGAAGTGCTGGGATTACACATGTGAGCCACCACATCCGGCTGTCTGATTCCATTTTAAAAAGAAAAAGAAACGCTTCCTTTTTGTTTTGAGAGTTTCTCAACAAAGCTGAACCTTTCCTGTTCTCAGAGGCACCTGCTCCCACGTTTTAATTCCTTTGTTTGAGGGATCCGTGAAGGTGATTCGATTCCATCCAGCACATCACATTTCTTTAAATGCATTTCTGCCCATTATCTGATTTCTCCTTTCTGATACGAATTCAAAATCTGGTAGAGGACTTGCCACACACCCAAAAAAGCAAAAACGAAAACGAAAGAAAAAAACATGCTGTAAATCCGTGGCTCTACTGGAGTAAATGGTGCTTTATTATATGGAAAGCCATCCATTTTGCTTCATTCAGACTTCTTCATCTTGTTCCTTGTTCTATGGCTTTTACAGATACTTTATAATGCAATCCTGCTGGGCTTTTGACGCAAGGAAACGGCCATCCTTCCCGAATTTGACTTCATTTTTAGGATGTCAGCTGGCAGATGCAGAAGAAGCGGTATGTAGCAGCCAGGACTTTATAAAGCCTTATAAAGGAAATTGGTAAATTAGAACACTTGTTGCTGACTTCCTGAGAACCAAAGGTACCAGGTTGTCTTTCTCATTGTGGTTTTTCTTGGTTGTCTTTTCAAAGTCGTATGGGGTAAGACTTTATTTATTTATTTAGACAGGGTCTCACTCTGTGGCCCAGGCTAGAGTGTGTGGTGTGATCATGGCTCACTGCAGCCGCAACCTCCCAAGCTCAAGCAATCCTCCAGCCACAGCCTTCAGAGTAGGCGGGACCACAGGAAAGCACCACCACACCAGGCTAATGTTTAAATTTCTTGTAGAGATAGGGCATCATTGTATTGCCCAGGCTGGTCTTGAACTCCTGGGCTCAAGCCATTCTCCCACCTCAGCCTCGCAAAGTGCTGGGATCACAGTGGCATGAGCCAGTGTGCCTGCCCTAAGACATATTTATTGACAAAAATGTTTTTAGCTGGTCACCGTGGCTCACACCTGTAATCCCAGCACTTTGGGAGGCCGAGGCAGGTGGATCACGAGGTCAGGAGTTCAAGACCAGCCTGGCCAAGACGGTGAAACCTCGTCTCTACTAAAAATACAAAAATTAGGTGGACAAAGTGGCAGGTGCCTATAATCCTAGCTACTTGGGAGGCTAAGGCAGGTGAATTGCTTAAACCCAGAGCTGAGATTGTGCCACTGCACTCCAGCCTAGACGACAGAGTGACACTTTGTCTCAAAAAAAAGTTTTTAGGAAAAAAAAAAAACCTTTCCTGATTTCACCTAAATGATTAATAAATTAAAAACTCCTAAGTATTCAGTGCAGTGAAGTAGACAACTAAATAAAACTAAATAAAAATAGGCCAGGCATGTTGGCTCATGCCTGTAATCCCAGCACATGGGAGGCTGAGGCGGGCGGATCACAAGCTCAGGAGTTTGCGACCAGCCTGGCCAACATGGTGAAACCCCATCTGTACTAAAAATACAAAAGTTAGCCGGGTGTGGTGGCACACACCTGTAGTCCCAGGCTACTCAGGAGGCTGAGGCAGGAGACTCACTTGAACCCAGGAGGCGGAGGTTGCAGTGAGCTGAGATTGTGCCGCCACTGCACTCCAGCCTGGGCAACAGAGTGAGACTCTGTCTAAAAACAAACAAACAAACAAAAACAACAACTAAATAAAAATAATCCCTGGCCTCCAGAAACCACTAGCCCTTTCTCAGGAAGCATGAGTGTGGAAAAATCGGGTGACCTAATCATGCTGTATGGTCGCAGGGAAACAGCATTGAGCTGGAGTTCCGAGGGTTGAATACCAGCTCTCCCATTCTGCCTCCCAGCTGTGTCCGTTATGGCAAATCACCACTTCTCTGAGCTTCAGTTTTTGCACCTGTAAAATGGGTTGTTAAGTTAGATTATCTTTGAGTTTTGGGAACTTGGAATTTCTTTGCTAATGCTTTCCCCATCAACACCACCACCCTGTGTAGTGAAAAGAGTCATTTCCAGATGAAGTAAATAAAGGAGAGAACCTTGAGCTCCCAATACCGAGGTTCGAATCTCGGCTCCATCATTTACTTGACAAGTCATGTAATCTTTTGGGGAGTCTCCATCTCGGTTTCTTTACCTGAAACATGTAATTGACAATTCTCACCTCATGGACTTGTAAGGAGTAAATAAGGTGGTATAAGTGAAAAGAGCTCGCACATACTGGGCACTTAGTATTTACTCAATAAAATGCTAGTTAAATAGAAATCTGAGTTTTAAATGGGTTGTCTGTCCTCCTTCCTAAATTAAGAGTCCATTTTCAGTTCTGTATTGTCTACATAGACCTGGGTAGATAGTGTGTTCTTTCCTTCTGCTGTGATTTCTTTGAAAATTACAAAGAAAGTTGGTTATTGTCAGAGAATTAGGTCAAAAGTTTGGAGGAAATGGAAAGTCCCCAACAGACTCAGCCTATTGCATAGATACCTATAAACGGTTAATGACACTATAAGGTAAACTGAAAGACTTATAGAATGAAACAGAAAGTGAGCTGGCAAAGAAAGAGTATATATGCATATGTGTATCTATCTATCCCCATTTTTTTTGAGACAGGGTCTTGCTCTGTCATCCAAGCTGGAGTGCAGTGGCATGACCTCAGCTCACTGCAGCCTCTATACTGTGGGCTCAAGCAATCCTCCTACCTCAGCCTCCCAAGTAGCTGGGACCACAGGCGCACACCACCAGACCCAGCTATTTTTTTGTATTTTTGATAGAGACGGGCTCTCACTATGTTGCCCAGGCTGTTCTCAAACTCCTGAGCTCAAGTGGTTCACCTGCCTCAGCCTCCCAAAGGGCTGGGATTACAGGCATGAGCCACCATGCCCAGCCAAGAGAGGATTAGTTGATGTTACTCATTGCATAGTTGGGCATGGATTTGTATTGATCTTATTTGAGCTGGATGTGAGGACTACGTAGCATCTTGGCTGCTGGAGAGTCGAGGGTGAGCAGCATATTCCAGGATGAATGAATCATATAAATAAAAGTCCAAAGTTGAGAATGTAGAGTGGCAAGTAAGTGGCTGTACCTAATACACAGGGAGAATGCGGGAAGAATCGAGAGGAAAACACAAGTGTGAAGGCTGTGTTGCCAGGATGGAGGGTTCAGGATCACGTGGGTCTTGGTTTGAGCTTCTCTTTTCATGTCCCCCTACCCACAGGATATCCGGATCCCCTTCCTTCTGTTCAGGGGACCTGTCAGGTATCAGGAACTGTTGAATGGCAACATATCCATGCATGGTTAATTAGTTGAGGGGATTCATGCTTTGGGACAGACAGTTTAGCAATTTTTTTTTCCCAATCCCCTCCACTCTTTCCTGACCCTAGGTGACCAGTGTCAGAAGCACCCAGAGAAAATGGTAGCTCCTTTAAGCAGATTGGAAAACAGATCCCCATGGCCAGGTATGGTGGCTCACACATGTAATCCCAGCACTTTGGGGGGCTGAGGTGAGTGGATCACTTGAGGTCAGGAGTTCCAGACCAGCCTTGCCAATATGGAGAAACCCCATCTCTACTAAAAACAAAAAATTAGCCAGGCATGGTGGTGCATTCCTGTAGTCCCAGCTACTTTGGAGGCAGAGGCAAGAGAATTGCTTGAACCTGGGAGGTGGAGATTGCAGTGAGCTGGGATGGCACTACACTCCAGCCTGGGTGACACAGTAAAACTCTTTCTCAAAAAAAAAAAAAGAAAGAAAGAAAGGAAAAGAGACAGAGAAAGAGGGAAAGAAAGAGAGAGAGAGAAAAAGAGAGAAAAAGGAAGGAAAGAAAGAAAAAGAAGGAAAGAAAAGAAAGAAGGAGAAAAGGAAAGAAAAGAAAGAGAAAGAAAAAGGAAGAAGGAAGGAAGGAAAGGAGGGAGGGAGGGAGAAAGGGGGGAAAGAAAGAGAGAAGGAAGGCTCCCCTTGGGATGGGAGGAATCCAAAGAGGAGCCCTTACTCACGGCTCCTGCAGCCTCCCCCAGTCTGAACCAGTCTGAAGGAGGGGAGCTTGAAGTGGGTCTCAGCCACCTTGCCCACTCTGCTGGTGCCCACTCAGCCGCCTTGCACGACCCACACAGCCACACAGGAAGTCCTGCCCACTCTGCACAATCCTATCTAGTCCCTTGGTTGAAAAACTGGCCTTGTCACCTTCCCCAGGGTGATCTTTCCTGGTACATCTGTGCATAACTTCGTAGAATCTTTGTTTCTTTTCTTTTTAATTTATTTTTTTGAGACAGAGTCTCACTCTATCGCCCAAGCTGGAATGCAGTGGTGTGATCTTGGCTCACTGCAACCTCCGCCTCCCGGGTTCAAGCAATTCTCGTGCCTCCACCTCCCAAGTAGCTGGGATTACAGGCACCCACCACCACACCCAGCTAATGTATTTTTAGTAGAGATGGGGTTTCACCATGTTTTTCAGGCTGGCCTTGAACTCCTGAGTTCAAATGATCCACCCACCTCGGCCTCAATGTGCTGGTATTACAGGTATGAGCCACCGTGCCCGGCCAGAATCTTTGTTTCTGCATCAAGAACTAGGGAAAGAAAAGTCCCTCAGAGGACTCCAGGGAGAAGGAGTGGGAAATACATGGAGAAAACATCGGTTAAGGCTTTTATGTCTAACCTCAGCACAACGGGGTTAGATCAGGGAAATCACTGATTGCGTGATTACATACCTAGGCAGTTAGACAATGGTGAACTGATGAAGATTTTTAGGATGGAGAAACATGCTTCAATCTTTAAGAACCAGATAAAACATCCTGTGCTCTGCCAAGCCTCCCTCAATTTCCCTAGTCAGATTTGAGGCTGCTTCTGAATTCCCATAACTTCCAGATATAACTCCATGTGAGACTCAATCCTAGTGTGTGATGACTTTATTTTATGCGTCTCTCTCTGTCGTCACTAGACTTCATTAGTCAGGGCAAAGATTGTTTCCTGTTCTTCTTTGCACCCCAGGGGGATGGTGCTTGGCCTGTGATATTAAATAAATGAGTGAGGTCAGTGTGAAAGCAGCCTGGAGACCACATCTGTTTGGCTCGTCGTTATAGACCCTGTTGCTAGCATATGCTTAGCAAGTAGAAGGCACTCCGCAAACATTTCTGGAACAAGGAAGGAAAAGAGCATAAAAGGAAGTTTGGAAAAGCGAGGCAGAAGATGAGATGTCAGGACATCAGTTGAGAGGGATGGGCACGCTGGGGGGGCGCACCAGGTAGTGGCTGTGGGCTGACAAAAGAGGGGGACATGCATGTCTCCTGTTTCAGAAAAGGCATCTGAACTAACATCATCTCCCCTCTCCTACTCGCCCCCATAAATTAAGAGGAAATGTGGTGGTTTTTTTTAAAAAACAGAAGTGAGTCCAGGCGTGGTGGCTGACACTTATAATTCCAGCACTTTGGGAGGCTGAGGCACAAGCATCCATTGAGCTCAGGAGTTCAAGACCAGCCTGGCCAACATGGCGAAACCCCGTCTTTAAAAAAATAAAAAAATAAAAAAA